CCTGCGACTACTTCGAAAAACTTTCCCTCTACTCTGTGTGCCCTTCGCTGGTTGTGCGACCCAAGCCCCTGCATTCCTGCACCGGTAAGACGCCCGGATTGGGGAGGGGGCGGTGTGTGAGAGGGTGCGCCGCTAGCTTTTGCACCAGTGTCTGTCACCTCTGCTTTGCCACTCGACTCCGGGGCGAGTGGAAGAGGCGCAAGGATTCTTTTTCTGCGCCCCGCACGGACACCAGACTGGCCAGCGGTGGACATCGCAAAGGAGTCTGCAACCTGGCGGGGAAAGGCCAGGGAAGGTGTGGACGCCGCGACGGAAATAACGTAAAGGCAGCGCGGACCTAGGACCTGCCGCTCCTGCGATCCTGCAATCCGAGTGGTGGTGCTCAGAGGAGAGCACTTCTTCCTTCCTGACAGCTGTGCTTTCAAGTCAGAAAGTTCAAATACTTGACCTGATTTAACGCTTAAATCATTGTTTCAGGAAGTGGGGCTGTGGGTTTCAACTAGGGCTTACTGGCCAGGTCTGTCACCTAGAATTACCTTGTGCAACTTCCCCCTGCCTCTCCTTGGAATCTGAGAAGAAGGCGGTGTTCCGAGGTTCTCGACAGTCTTGGATTCACTGACATTTACTTAAAATGTCCTGCTTCTAGGGAAGTTTGGAGTCTGTTGCCTTTGTGGCATATGCAGAGGGGATCAAGCCCTGTTTGTTTTAAGTGACTAAACCCAACAACAATAATAAAAACATACGGTGGATCTTGTGGATCTGGTTTCCCTCTCTCCACTAGAGCTGAGACCAATAGCAAAGAAAGATAACAATAAATATATTGAAAAAGTTGTAGGTTTGTATAGAAAAATAATCCACAGGCATTTAAAAAGAACTTTACATTAAGAGGAGCTAAGTTTCAAAGCGCCTTGGCAATATTAGGATTTAGGCTATGAAAATGTGAATGTAGCAAAAAAATATATATATATATATATTCGAAGCAAATTTTCTCTAAGAAGTTATTGACTATGCTTCCCACTAAAGGTAAACATTTAGTACTTCTAACCCAAAAGGGCTTTTGAGGTTATGTTTGTTGTATGGTTGGCATGAAATAAATTAAATTATACTTATATTGAAAAAATGAAGTGAGGTGCCAACAGTGGTGCTGAAAGAATTTTTGGAATATTTACGCTAAGAGCTTCTGGTACACAATGCTTGGAATCACAAATTTTTTTCTTGGTTTCATCGATAATCCTTATAGGACAATCAGTAAATGTACAATGAATGTATATAGTGACATCCTTTTAAAATCCAGTTCTTCCCATGTATTTGTTATAGAGTGAATACTTAATATTTTGAAGTACAGTTTGTCTGCAAGGTAGAATTAGGCCTGATTTGTTATAGTGAGCCTTGTAATATTGAATTTTACAAACTAAGAAAAGCACAAAATGAGAAGCAATGGATTTTTAGAAACACAACAGATATCCTCAATATTGATTTTTTTTACTTTTGTGTGCTATTTGAGAAACATTGGACAAATAGTCTGCACAGATATTGACTAGGAGATGTATGCTAATTTTTGTTTTTGAGAACAACTGTTTGCTACAATAACTAAAATCTCGAGGAAAAAAAGAGATGATTTGTTTCAGTCACAATCTCAATGCACCCTGCCCAATCATCGCATACTACAGAGGTTCCTGGTACAAAACACAACTCAGAAGTCCCTGTGTACGTCCTAGTGTTGGGAGAATTTTCAGTGACTTTGTATTAACTCAGAGACAGCTTTTCTTGGTTTATTGGAGTCATAGAATTGAATCATGGAACAAAACATGCCAGAAAAAGAGCAGTAAGGGGCCTAAGAAAATAATCATCCAATCATTTGAGGCTAAGTTCTGTTGTATTCAACTTCATGTGGAAAATACAGAGGTTCACAGCATGGTGGTCACTAAAACAAATTAATGTATATCACAGACTAAAGTTTTTCTCAGTCTTGTTCTTCTAGAAATTCATCAATGGCTTGTGGCAGAAGGTGGTTTTTGGCAATGGCTTTATTGCCCTGTTTTCCCAGTACTTTCTCCTTTTAGATGGTTCCTTTTAAAATGTATCGTTATTTTACTCTAGTTGAGACTTAAAATATAGAAACTAGGATTTGCTAGTGGAATTAAACTCATAAAAACTGGCTACAATAGTTCATACTTTCAGATCATAAGCCTTCAGTGGGTTTACGATTACGGTTAAAGCCTTACATGCATTAGATCATGGGAATCCTATTAGTTACTTCTGAGGGGTTTTGCAAATTCCATATTTTCAAAGTACTTTTGTTGCTTTTAACAGTTAAATTTAGAATCAAAACTCTTAGGCTAGAGGAATGTAATCTTTTTAAGTATTATAAAACTAATGACAATAATTTGTTGACATCCATAACAAAACTAAATTTTCTTTTCTGGATAGATATAAATGTTTAGCACTTTTGGTACAACCAGAACCTAAAAAGTTCAAACCAAGTGAAAGGCATAAATTAGAACTAAAGTCACTGAACTTTTTTTTTGCTTTTGTTTGCTGGTTTAAATTTTAAGTAACTGCAAAAGAAGTGACTTTTGCTAGGTAAAGGGAAGCAAATAAGTTTTTAAAAGATAAAATAATTCCCTCAATCAAAAGACTTATCAAGACTTATAATAGTACATACATTTTGGACCGAAGGGAAATTATAGCATTAGAAAACCTCTCCATAATTAAGCAGTTAATGTTTAGATTTAGTAATACAAATGTCAATTTATGATACTAAATTTCCTCAGCAGAAGAGCCTTTATTTTATTCAAGTAAACAGAGAAATGGAAATATTTTTGGTTATGCAGACAATCACTTGATTAATAGTAATTTATTATTAAACACTTTAGCCTTGATGGAATACTTACCTTTCAAAAATTATTGTTTAACAGACCCTTAGTATAAACAGAGTAATTTTTGTCTGGAAAACTCTCTAAGTTTCTCTACAGATCTCTTAAATCACCTTAGTAAGCATTTAGAAAGGGAATCCTGTCCTTCTAAGCCAAACTATAGGAAAGTTTATCACTAAATTTTTCAAAAATTAAAAACAGCCTGAAGAAAGCTTCCTTTCTTTAGCCTTTAAGAAAGTTTCTTATTTAAGCCACTACAAATATTGGAATAAATTTCAAATTAGTTTAGTATATGACATGTTGGTCTTATTTTAAAATCTGATTATAGTAATTCCCACTCAGAATGGAAATATATTGCCATTTAGAAATCAGCAATTGTCTCTCATAAATATGTTGATGTGATTTTAAGGGCCAAAACTAAGGTACTCTTATATGATATCATAAATACCATTTAATTTTAGGGTTTATTTTTTTCTTTTTCTGGTTATGATTAATGTTTTATGGTGGGAAAATCACTTGAATGAAGCTGACTTTTCAGGATGGAGTATATTCCAGAGGTAGCCGCACCGTCATTTTTGGAGGCTCTGCCTTTATGTTTAATCTTTAGTAATAGATTTTCTAAATTTGCGGGGGGGAAAGGGTAACTTGCTTCACAGAAACAACAATGTAATAATAATTTACTCTAACAGTTTTCAGATGACACTGACAAGCAGGCCTAGGATGCCAGTTACTTATAACTGATTGTAGCTATTTATGTATATAATCCAGAATTACACTACATTTATACATGCATGCAAGTGTAGATTTTTCATCATTTTGCATCCTGGGATATTTTTCCAGCATTAAACCTGTAGTCTCTATTCACCTTCTCCAGCAGAACGATTGTGCTGAATCCCTCCATGTCCCCCAGCAGCCATGCCTGTGGAGCTGGCAATGGGCTTTTGAGCTACAAAAGGTCACAGAGGTCAGTCCCCCCAAGTGGAAGATTGCTTTTTGCAGAAACTCAGGTTCACATCCTGTATCACCCTAGTTTAGGTGTTCTTTTTACACTGCTGTCCTTGTCAGGCTTCTCAGAAATCATGGAGACTTTTCCATTTTGGTTACTCACCAAGATAAATGTGTACAGTCACGCCCCATCAACCAGCCAATTAAAAGGGACATTTGTGGAAGGGTGATTATCTTAGGAGGTGACACTGAGAACATTTTATCCTTTGGTGGGTCGTAGAGAAACAAGTTCTTTGGGGTGTTGTCCTTAGGTGCATTTGTATCACAAAGACTATGTGTCACTCCAGTGAAAAATTAAATGAGGTGCCGACATATGTAATGACTTCTTCGGGAGTTAGGGAGCTGGCTATGGCTACTGCTTCATAAAGCAATTCACCAAGTCTCGACTGTGGCTTTGGTCTTTCAGTCAGAAACCAAAACCCACAGGATCCTGGGGACCTGAGAGTTTGGCACTGGAGCATGAATGTAAATCGGGATCTGGGAAAATGATAATTATCCATTCGAATCTGTATTTCTGCCAGAAGTAAATAGGCTTTTATTAACAATTACTCAGAACTGCTTCTCCTGTTCCCATTCTAAGGGTAAATAAGTTGAGAGATGCACAGGATCCAGGAATCATTTAGGGTCAGAATATATTTGGAGCTGAGTTTTTATCTCATTACCTCTTTAAATTTTAAACTCCTTTTAAAATTGAGATGCTGAAGGGTTCCTTAGGAGTTTGTTTTTAACTTGTGAATAGCTCATGAGCAGTGTTACCACTGGCCCTGATTTTTCTAATAGCAAACGAGAAAGTGATTAAAAATGGTGTTCATAAGTTGAAATGACTTATGAAATGAATGTCTGAAATTGTCAGTATCATTTAATTCCACAGATACTTTCATTTGCTTAGTGAGGGCATTGTGATTGAGCCCATTATTTTAAAACTTATTCTAAATTTATTGATTTATTTTTGTTGTGGTGCTGGGAATTGAACCCAGGACCTTGTACATGTGCAGTAAGCACTTTACTAGTGAGCCACCCTCCTGGCCCATAAATCTTGACAGGTATTTGAGGTGGTTTAAAAATCCCTCTAAATTACCTAGAGACTCTGTTGTTCTCTAGGGAATACAATGGACAGTTTGCACTAGGGTGGGGAACATAATCATGAGCTAGTACTTTTGTTCTCCTAGGGGAGTTTTTACTTTGAACTCCACCTATAGGGCA